AGTCCTCCCACCGCCCCCGCCAGGCTGCCCGAGGGACGCCGAGTCCCCACGCCCACCCACCACGGAGAGCCGTCGAGCCTTCTGCAGGGCACCCTCCCCCGGCCCCCTCCCGGCCCCCTGTGCCCTGCGCAGCGGGATACAGACCATGAAGTCCTCCTTGGAGGCAGAATGGTCCCGTCGCAGCCAGCTGAAGGTGTCCTCCACATTCCATTTCACCACCTTCCTGCTGTCTGGTGAAGCACTCCTGCACAAAGCAGAGAGCTGAGGCTGAACCCAGGGCTGCGTGGTGACGTGTCACACCCCCCCAGGACAGCTGTCTGCCCGTGGGGGAGCACAGCCCTGGACACCTCCTCCAGCCCTGCCCGGAAAAGCAATCCCAGACGTTTTTATACCTAGGGACTGCTGTGCTCCCTGCACAGCACAATGCAGCTGCCTGCTCCCCCCTCCAACAGGAGAGGCAGGTAAAGCATTTATCTGCCACAGAAATTGCCCATTTTGATCTTGCCTCTCATTTTCAAAGGCAGCCACTGTCAGGAACTTGTGGCTCTGAGAAAACCATCCCATTACACGTTTTCTCCTTTGCCCACACGGCTATCTTCCACAATTCTGTCCCATGGCAGAACTCGTCAGAAAAGTCACACATGGTATAATAAAGACCACTCTAAGCCTGCTGCTCTCTGGTAGCAGCATGTGCCCAAGTGCTCCTGTTCTTCTCTCAGGGATACAGGACAGCAGGCACTCCAGGCTGGGTGTTTCACGGGTTCCCACTTGTCTCTGCACACTTTCAGCTTCCCATCTGACTGTAACACAACTATCAAAAGCTGCCTCCTCCAGCACTGTTGTTTTTCTTCTGTCCGTTCCCAGCCTTGCTCTCCTCAGTAAGACAATGGCCGAGGCTGACTAAGGTGGGATGGATGCAGCAGCCCCTTCTGCCAGTCCCCACAACCCTTTTCCCTCCCCACAACCCCAGAGCACTGTGAGAGGAAGCCCCACCTGGACTCGATCAGCCGCTTCGCAGCCTCAGCATACTTGAAGAGCAGCCTCTTGGCCTCCTCCCGGAACTTAATTCTGGATAACCTGAGGGAAATTTAAATTCACAAGCCTCAGTTCCACAGCTGCCACAAAGGCAGGTCCAGTTCCAAGCCTGACATCACCAGCCCCCTACCACTCCATCCACAAGCACAGAATGGCAGCAGCTCAATCACTGGGCCAGACTGAGACAAAACCACCCCAGCAAGGCACCCTGCTTTGAACAGTACCTGATGGGAATGTCGTTCATGATCTCTCTGAACATGGAAGGAGACACTACTGGTTCGCAGTCACTGGGTAAAAGGGGATCTGTCCCTTTATCAACCACCTTCCTCTCCAACATCCAGCGATTAAAGGACTCCCTTGGGGGGTCAATCCCTGGAGAAGCACAGAAAAAGGCTTTAATCAACATGATAAAGAGACCCTGATTCTGACACCAGAGCTTCTGACAAGGATCACTGCATGGGAGCTCTGCCTAATGAGGGCACAACCAGCAACGTCAGAGAGTATAACCATCACCAAGAGATCACAAGCACAGGAAAGACATAAACCAGAAAGAAGAACATAGCAGCACCACACGACTGACAGGCCCAGCAGCAACTGACCTTCTCGCTGCTGGCAGAGCTCACGGTAATGCTGCCGCAGCTTCAGAATGAGCTGGGACCGAAGCAGCTCCACCTCGGGGTGTGGAGAAAGCACTTCAGATGGTGCCCTCTGCTTGATCACCGCGTTTGTCTGAATATCCAGGTCCCAATATACTCTACAACAGAAGCAAATGTCATCCAGATCGCCAGACCATTGACTAATTACCAAATACACTTCTGAAGATGCTTCCCTGGGCTATTTCACACAGCAGGAAACTGAACTATCAAGACTCCTTGTCAAGATATTCAGGAGTGTTACATCCCTTAGGAGGTGACTGGAAAAGCAGGTGACTCCAATCGATCACCGAGAAAACAACAGAGGAGAAGTGGAGACAACTCACTCAGTTGGTCGCAGGAGAGCTGCCTGCTGTTTGTCTTCAGGTGAGACACACCAGGCCTTCAGAACAGAGGTTCCGGGAATACTGGGTGAGCTGGGGACTGCCTGAGCAGTTGCATTCCCTGGGACATCAACCTGAATATATAGAAGATGAGTCACTGCCCCGCAGAGAAGGGCAAAGGGGCAGCAGCCTGGTGTACCCAACAACCCTGCTGCAGCACATCCCTCTGGATGCCCCAGAAACTGCCCCAGCCCATTTTGCCTGCTGTCGGCAGAGGCGAACGCAGGCACACAAGCTACTGTGCTCCTCAGCCATACCTGCTACCCCCAGCTCCCACCCTCCACCTCAGGCTCAAGAGAGAGAGGACGACTTGGCAGGACCCCAGTCTGCTCGAGTCATACTGGGGTGGTCTGACCTCGCACAGCTCAGACAAGCTAGGTCCAGACACCCCAGGTTTCAGCTTAGACAGCATCCTCAAGCCTATTTGTTTCACAGCACCAGACTCACCTTGGGCTTTTTCACACTGTTGCCGCTGGGTGGAACCTCCTCAGAGAACCTCCTCTTCCTCTGCTTGCTCTCCACAGAGGTGTCTATCATCCCACCTTCCAGCGGCATCGGAGCCGCATTCAATCCCAGGGGGTCTGACTGAGCGTCCAAAAACAACAGCACATGTCAGTTCACTGCCTGCCACAAATGAAGGCAGTAAATCCTCTCTACTTCCCATTCCACTGCCCCAGGCTCCCACACAGACTGAAATAAGGACACCAAAACACCTGCAGAAAGCTAAAAAATTCTCTTCTAGAAGACTACCTGTGTCTGTATGCTTTTTTTCCTAAGACTCAGATGAGAAAAATGCCACAAAACTCCCACAGGTTGCGTGTTCTTTGAGCAGCACGCTACACCTGGCACAGCACTGAGTGGGCACCTGACAGAGGAACACCTCCTCAGAACCAAGCCAGACGATGGGCTTGGCGGGTAGAGGAGACCTTCCCACACCAGGCCACAGTCTGCCCCAGCAGAGCACCCCGTCCTGTGAGCGCCTACTCACGATGACATCGTGCTGTCCCAGGACTGGCATCTCCCACAGAGACTGGTTAGTGAAGCGGTTGAAGTAGTAGGGGCGATTCTCCCGCTTGCTCCAGCACTTCTCCCAGCCAGCCTGCACCAGCTCATCTGGGAAGACAGTCAGAGTCAGGGGAGGAGCAGTCCTGAGCGACAGCCCTGCCCTCCAGGTCCCCACCACTGTCACAGCACGCTCTGAAACAGGAGCAGTGGCCTCTCCTCGCCCTCTCTCCCAGAGCCCAGGGCCCTGCACGGCTCCGTGTGGGTACCTGGCAGGTCCTGTACCAGGCGCATGGGTTTGGGGGAGCTGGGCTGGTTCTGGTTGGAGGTGCCAGGCGAGTGACTCATGAGAGACGCTTCCTCCGCAGGGCTTCCGTGATTCTCATTGGCCATTTCTCAGCAACTGCACTAGAAAAAAACCAAAACAAAGTCCACGTTACAGCAAGGAAGATCCCAGATCCACTTGGCTCACTCAGCTCTGGCACCAGTTCATTTGGACCACAAAACAGGCTTTTAGTCGGGACATGCAGAACAGAGCCTAAGCCCCCAAAAGACCCCATCACCCGTGATACAAACAGCCACGAGGAACACTGAGCTTTAAATGGGGTCAGCCAGCGAGCTCTTAAGGCCAGCACTAAAAATACTCCCTCTTCCACTAGGTCTCTCCTAAGCATTGAAGTGCTGGGGTCTGAACCCCGAGCCCTGAATTAAAGTTGACATATGGATGATTCTCACGACCAGGCAGAGGATTTTTCTCTCTGCTGGGAAACTAGCTGGGTGCCTGCTCTACAGATACCCAGCAATCTTCAGAAAGGTGTGATTAAAACCAAAATAGCGGGAGAAACATTCCTTTTGGTCTTCTCTCAGGGCTTGGCCAACAACCAGCGAGGACAACACCAGGTGTCCTGCTTCTGAAGTTATTTGGGAAGGTCACTTAAGAGACTGGAGTTGTTTTATTCAACAGCGTAAGAGCTGGTGCTGCCTGCAGTGAATTTGGGAAGCCTCCCTGCAGACAGATGCACCACGGAGGGTTCTCCCCGTTACTGGAAGGCTCCCTGACTGCTGTGGATCTCCCAGCAGCAGTGGGACAGGACAATGGGACAGGACAAGGGCAACGTGTGTGGCACTGCAGCGGCTTCCGTGTCACCACACGCGGACTTTCGACTCTGCTTATTCCTTCCTGTCACAGGACTTCTGAGTTGGCTTATTCCTTTTTGTGTTACATCACCTACTACTCCTTCCTCTGTTATATCATCTATTAGTAGATCTGTTACCCTGCTTATTCCCCTGCTGTTAACCAAATTATATTATTTCTGTATTCGCTGGAGTTGGACAATAAAGCTGGTGCCTGCTTTCTGCTGATGGTCGTGTCCTTTATGCTGGGCCACATAACTGGCAAAACAAGCGTGCAGCATTTGGTCCCACACATCAGGGCTGAGAGCACAGAGAATAAAACACACTCCTCTCCCAACAGGTAGCCCCTAACACTGCGAGCCATATCCCTCCAAGACAGTTTAAATCAACACTCACACAAAACTGCACGTAACTTGAACAAAAGTCTTTTATTTGAAATCTTCTGCTATATAAGACAACCCCAGTGCTTCACTACTGAGTGCTTCTGTGGTTCCAAGAGGCACAGGCCAGCAGTCAGGAACTCCTGTCTGTTACTTTCCTCGAGGAGCCATAAGGGCTGTTTGAGCCCTTGGTACCTTTTCATATGCATAACAACAGTTATGCAAAAGAAGGTCTGTTGAAACAATAAATCTCCCTTTAGTCATAATTTAACATTGCCAGCTGGATAGAAACAGCCAGGCTTTTCCTCTCTTAGTCACTGCTTCCCCCCAGGGAAGTTTCTGAAACTGCAGATTGCTCCTCTCTGGCAGCCTAAACACAGTGCCCGTGAACTGGGGGAAAAAAGCATTTTAAATAATTACTGTCTATCTCAGTTACTCCATTCTATTCAGGCCTTTGGAGACACGGCACACCACACCAGAGTTAGGACCACAGCAGCACAGAAATGTGGTTTTTAACTGGCCACCAGAGCAGCCTCCATAGTCAGCTCCCTTGCAGATAATTTCTTAAGTAAAAACTCCTGCTTGGCTGCAGTTATTTGTTTACCTTGGTTCCCCTTCCTGCCCGTACACCTCTGCTGGCTACTCCCAGGAGGCAGGAGGCAGCAGCCACGGCAATCTACAAGCAGCAGGCACTAGCTCAGGTGACCCTAGCACCGGCGTGAGCGCAGGGCTGAGGAACTCGACCCTTTCAGCACCCTGGGAGATGTTTCCACCCCTCCAGGTGGGGTAAGCACGGACAGGCGCAGGGCCCCGCAGACACCCGCGGCCTGGCCTCTGCACGGAAGGCAGCAGATAACCAAGCCCCCAGGTGGAAAGGTGGCTGCAGAGGCAGCGCAGCGACCACGGGCACAAAACCCCCCGGCAGGGGAGCGCCGTGCAACACTCCTGCACCCACACTCCCTCCCCCACGCTCCCTCCCCAGCTCCAGCCCCGCCGTGCCCTCCGCACTCCCCTGCCAGCACGGGGGCGAGGTCAGCCCGCATCAGACTCGTGTCGGGGTGCCAGCAGAGCCCAGGGCACTCAGGGCTGCAGGGCAGGAGCCCCATCAGGCTGCACCGTGGCTGCAGCAGCTCCTGGAGGGTGCGTTTGGCCCCTACTCCCTTAAACTAAACATGTATTCATCTAAGCAGCAGCTGGTACGTGCTGCACACTACACGGACACGACGTGTACTGAACTGGCATGTACTGGTGGGACGAGACCTCCCCAAGGTGTATTTCGGGTTCCAGACAGTGCTGGGTACGAAGGTCTGCCCAGCTGAGGCAGCACACTGCCTGTGGCTTGCACCAGCAACCACTTCCATCAGCTGGCAAACAGGGTTCAATGGTTTTGCCTCCTCCCACTTACGGACAAATCAGAACTGCAGGGGCAGAGAAGACACTCTACCACTTGACAGGACTGATAGGTATTAAATCCAAGTACCCTCAAAGTCTGAGAAAACGAAAAAAGCAAACTAACAGGAATCCTGACAGAAGCAGCTCTACGTTCAGGCAGCCAGCACTGGGACGGGGGGCCGGGATGCAGAGGCAGCACGCAGTGGCAGTCCCCGTGCTGCTTCACACAGCCCCTCAGCGCCGGCAGGCACCGGG